TCGTCGTGCTACCATGAGGAACGCCGCGCAAGGGACGAAGCCCCTCTGTGGCCCCCAAAGCGCCGGAGTGCTCGAGGAACGCCCAGGGAATAACCACGGGAGAAGCCAGGGAACAACAAGTCGCCTCTGAGCCCGCACTGTGCTCGTCAATTTCGGCTTCCTGACCGCATGGGCAGAACTCCTCGCGCAACAGGAGTCCACCGTGGCACTCGGCCCAGGCAGGCCACTGGGCCACCGCGGGGCGGCGCGTCGCTGCCCTGTGCCGTCAGAGCCCCCGCGCAGTCGTGTGGGAGGAAGCCGCCCCCAACGCAGTCGTGTGGGAGTGTTCACGACAGATCCGCGCGGACCTCCGGCAGCTCATGTTGTGTAGCTGCTTCTTCTTAATACTCTTCCACTCTCCCCTCCCCCACATGCCCCCTCTCTCTCGCCCCCTTTGCTGCTCCATCCCGCCGGCCGGCGCGACCTCACTTCAAAGCCCCCCTCCCTGCCCCCCCCAGAAAGGAGGCCCCCCGAAGAGGGACCCCTCCCCCAGGCCCGCCGCGGGCGCGCAAAGCGGCGCCCTGCCTTCACACAGCCAGCCAGGGACCCGCCCCCTCCCCTCCTGGCATCGTTCGGACGTCCATTCCCTGTGCTGTTTTCGGTTTCGTGCGTGTTTTTTTCGCCAAATGATCAAGGATGCTCCTCGATCGCCCTCGCCGAGAAAAAATGCACGCGTCCGAACGATGCCAGGACCCCGCAATGATCGTGCTACCATAGCAGCGCAGAACAAGGAACGAATGGGGCTTTTCTGGGGGCCGCGGCGGGCCTGGGCCACACACAAGCTCCACAGCATGAATCTCAGGAGCGGCCCGGAACCCGAGCCCCTCCTGGGGCGAGGAGGAGGAGGAGGAGGAGGAGGAGGAGGAGGAGGAGGAGGAGGAGGAGGAGGAGGAGGAGGAGGAGGAGGAGGAGGTCGGAGGAGGCGGAGGAGGCGGAGGAGGAGGAGGAAGAGGAGGAGGAGGAGGAGGAGGAGGAGGAGGAGGAAGAGGAGGAGGAGGAGGAGGAGGAGGAGGAGCCCAGCGTAGATGAGGTCAGGATCCCCGCCCCCACTAAGCCGCTCCTGGCCTTGATGCCGAAGCAGCCGAGCTGGTGGAAGATGAAGCGCGGGCAGGAGCCGTAATTTTATTCAGAGGAGGAGCAGGAGGGGGCACGCAGGCGCAAGAGCAGAGCTCGAACGAGAAAAGGACGGGGGAGAGACAAGCTCTTGCTGAAGAGCAGGGCAAGGCGAATGTAGAGGCTGGTACAACCTGTGACGGACAGAAGCGGATGGCAGCGAGGCGAGCACGCGGGGGGAGGGACACTGAGCGTCGGGGGCGAGCTCAAGAAGAGGCGACGGGCGCACATGCGGGGGTGTGTGGCCACTCGACGGAGCGAGCGGCGGAGTGAGGGCGGGAAACAACGAGGGCATAAACGCGGAGGGAGGGGGAGCAGGCGGGGGGCAAGCAGCGGCAGGGGCAGAGCTCATCGGAGCGAAGGACGAGGTGAGGGAGGAAATGCAAGAAAGCCCCAAGATATGATGCTGCGCCGTGGGATTGACGGACGCAGCGTGAACAGGATGCTGGAGGCGAAGCGCCTCAGAGGGAGGAAAGACGGGCGCAGGATGCACAGGGGAGAGGGGCAACGATGGCGGCGAGACGTGCAGGAGAGGCGAGACGGCAGGATGCATGGGAAGAATTTTCTCGGACGGGGGCTCAGGGCGGGAGGGCGTCCCCGACGCGGGACTGGGGGGGGCGGGAGATAGCCTCTGCGAACGCGGAGTCGCCGCGGGCGCACAGCAGGAGGCAATCCGAGAAGAGGAAGCCGCCACCCACGGAGCGGTCGGAGCAATCGATGACGTCAGGGTAGCCGAAATCGAGGAGCGGGGCGGGCGCGGGGAAGGCAAGGCAATCGGCGTCGTCGACAGGAGATATCCGTGAAGCGAGCGCCCCACCGCAATCGACACCACTGAACACGGGGCCAGCGGCTCGCAATTTACTCGAGCCTGGGGCAGTGGGCTCGAGGAGCACCCACGCCCAGGGCTTTGCGAACTGACGCCGACAGAGGGGTGAGGCATCTCCCCGCAATTTACTCGTGGAGCCTGGAGAGGCGGGCTCGAGGAGCACCCGCCACCAGGACTTTGCGAACTGACGCCACAAGCACCAGGGACGGCACGAGACCGAGCCACCTCATCGCAATTTACTCCAGATGCCTGAGCAGATGGGTTCGAGGAGCACCCACTGACAGGACTTGGCGTTCTGACATCATACTCCACCGCTGCACCCGAGGCACCGTCAGCAAGGTCCTCAAGTCGGCCGACGCGCTCGGGCGTTGCAATGAGCGTAGCCGGTGTAGTCGGGGCCGCAGGGCGGAAGTCAAGCATGACCAGGTCGTCCGAGTCGTCCTCTCCCACCGAAGAGTAGGGAGTCGATGACCCTGACAACGCCGACAGCGTGGGTATGGTCGCACTGCAGGATGAGGAGGAGGAAGAACTCGACGACGACGACGAGCTTGAGGAGGAGCTCGCTGGACGGGGCACACGAGGAAGCCAATGGGGGGCGAGCGCGGCCCGCTCCTCCTCCGACACGCGAGAGGGGTGCGCAAGACGCATCGCCCTCACTCCCGCCAGAGCGCAGGCGTGAATCTGCTGGACGGAGAGCGGCCACTCATGGTGCGGGCCCCGTTGTACATGTTGTACGCGGCTGTGAGCAAAGAGAACGAGGAGAACGATGGCGATGCCAGGCCCCAGCGAGAAAACCAATCGAGCGGGAAAGGACGTGCCAAAGCCCGCCTGAGAGCACGGTGCATAGGTGGACATCTCGCGTAGTGACGGAGAGAGTCGATTCGCTGCATGCGACCGAACGCGCATGGTCTCTGGCCCAGCGGGGAGATGATCCGTGCCGAGGTCATCCAGCCGTCACACCAGGTACGCAGCACGGCCCACGCCCAAGAGTACGGGCAGCGTGCCAGCATCACGGCGCAGTTGTCCCAGTCGATGGAGTCGAGACGGCCCCTCGCACGTCCAGCAAACTTCATCAGCCGTCGGCGGAAGAGTACCTGAAGCGGCTGAGCCGTGCACGCAAGATGGCGTAGGGCAAGGTGCGCAGCACGCTGAGGGCGAGAGCGCTGCCCAGGGGCGGGGGAGAGAGCGGCGCGAGCAGCAGGGAGCGCGGCAGCCAGGAGGGCAGAAAGCCCAGAGCCCGCAGGAGCACGACCGAGAGCCGCAGCCTCCAAGTTCTCGGCCAGCGCCGTGGACTTCCAGAAGCCAGGATACAGGCGTCCGTGCGGCAGCATGTCGAGCGTCACGTCGGTGTCCCTCGAGGCGATGTGCTCGCGCATGCGGGACAAAATGGGCTCCCAGCACGGGTGCGTGAGCAGAGCAGCGCGCGTGATGGATGCCGCAGCCAGGTGCGCCCATCGGATGATCCTGGGAGCCCCCCACTTCTCCAGCTGCACCCACACATCGAGTCCGAAGGTGCCGAGAGGAAGACGAAATACTTGTGCCAGAACCGCAAGTTCAGGTTGAATAACCGAGCGCGGGATCCAGGATAACTGCGCGACGTACGAAAGCGTAGTGACAGCACGTGAATTGTACAACTGGGCGGACTGACTGGCGGGGGTGGTGCCGCGGCCAATAGCTTGAGCCCGCAAACGCAGCTTGGTGAGCGGGTCGGTCCACGAACGATCGGGAGCGGCCCCGGACCCAGCCAGATGCCCAGGTAGAGCAGACAGTCGACCACCTCAAAGGAGGACCACTCGGGGACCCAATAGGAGATCTCCTGGAGGACGCGGGTGGCAAGCTCAGGAGAGCAGGGCCCGCTGAGAGGGACCACCTTGCACTTGCTGACCTTCAGCGCGAGGTTGGCCATGTCAGAGGCCTTGGACATCGCCCCGAAGACTCGAACGAGGTCGGCGATCGCGGAGAGCGTGCCACCAATGTCGTCCGCGCAGGCCCGCACGAGGCCAGACGAGGGGAGCTCAACCAGATGGGCCAGCTCGGAAAGGAAAGCAGCCGTACTGAACGCAAATAGAGAACCCGAGAGGGCGCAGCCCTGAATAATGCCACTGTCAATCCAACAGACATGTTCGAGAGTCCCCTGCGCCATAGCTACCCCGTCGATCGCAGCGTGCAGGAAAGCGACGAAGTCGAGGAAACGATCAGGGAGCCCGAGAGTCCGAAGAGCGAGGGTCATGAAGCCTTGGTTCAGGGACGGGAAGGCCTGGCCGAAGTCCAGGGAATACAGGGGCGGGACATCCAGGGACCCATGGGGGGTGACCGAGAGCATCCTGGCCGAAGCGTCGAGCTCGATGATGTTCTCACGGAAGCTGCGGCGAGGGATAAACCCGCGCTGGCAAGAGGGGATAAGGTCCAGGGCGGGGCGAACAGCACGATTCATCGTCGCCGAGATGAGCTTGATATCGCAGTTCCTGAGACCGAGGACACGAACTTTGTCTGGGGCCCGCTCGCAGCCCCCTGAGTGCAACTCGCTGTCAGTGACATTTTTCGGCAGGAAGATCTGAATAGTGTCCGAGGCAGAGGCGAACAGGAACTGGCCATCTCCGAGCCACTCGAAAGCATCCCAGAGAACCTCTTCGGCAAAGGGGTGAGCTTGCCACGCAGCATATGGAAGAGCGTCGGGGCCAGGAGCAGAGTGTTGAGCGCCACGTATAGCAGCGCGGAGCATAGCACGGGAAGGCGGGGGGAGATGAAGATCATCAGCACGAGGCAGGAGACGATGGAGGTAAGGGCGAGCAGCATCTTCGTCCCAAGGCTTCTTCCTGAATATGGGACCCCAATAGTCTGAGACAGCCTCGCCACTCGCAAGACGAACACACGAGAGGGAAACCCGACGATTCAGAGGTGACCACAATCTCGCTCTGCGCTCCAAGGCTCTGATCTGAAGTCTGATTTGAGCACGGTCACCCTGGCGCCGACGGCGCGCTTCCAATTCCTCTTTGGTGGCAGACGCAGCAGCGGACTGGACCTCGTCGACCCATGCCTGGAACGAGGGGGGGTGGATAAGCTCAGCCTTGCCAGCCCGCACATAGATCATGTCGCCAGCCAGGGGATGTGATTCCTGAAGCCGGCGCGCAAGCGGAACGTCTTGCCGCCAGACAACTCGTGCAAGCGCTCGTGCAAGTTGGAGAAGGGCGTGGGGATGATGAGGGCGAGCATGGAAGAGACGATCCCGAACTTCAGCAGAGGCGATTTTCAGCAGCTTTTTGTAGTACTCGAGCTTGACGGGCGGGGACATCTGGGACCAGTCGGAGGCTTTGATGAGGCCCTCGAGGCGCTGCTTGAACGCTGGTTCGTGAAAGATGTGCTTGGGAATGGCCCGCTCGTCCTGAACCCTGGGGGCCCTGGAAGCGAAAGAGATCAGCACGGCGGCATGGTCCGAGACGCATCTGTCCGACACTAACGCAGCCGAGTCGACAGTCGACGCCTGAACCACCAGTTGACACATCTGCCATCCCGAGAGCGAGCAAAAGAATCGATCGATAGAAGATTCAGCATTCCCAGCACGCTCGTAGTGCGAGGGGGCGTCACTTTCAATCTCAATCAGCGGGGCAAGAGCGTCCCGCCACTGCGGGGCGCGGGCGTGGTGCTGCCGCGCGCTCCGCCGCACTGCCGCTGCGGGCATATGCAGCAGGACGGACTCGTGCGAGGAAAAGTTGAAGTCGCCATTGACCACGACCATGTGCGAGTCTGGTGCACGCGCAGCCGCAGCCCGAGCAGCGCGGATATCTCGCGCGACCCGTGCAACTTCTGCCAAAGAAAGACCATGCTTGTGCACGTTGTACACCTGCAGGCATACATCTCCCAAAGATATTTCAACCCGTAGAACGCGCCCAGGGACGAGAGGGGCAGGAGGATGGACGACAGCACCAGGATGCAGAGGAGGAAGTACGACTGCGACGCCCCCACGGATGCTGCCGCCAGCATCAGCGTCACAAAAGCTAGAACGCACAGTAAGATCACGCGCCACTGTGCCCAATAACGAGACTAGTTGAAGGTGATCCTGGTGGACCTCCTGGAGGGAGAGGATCGTCTCCGAGAGACGGAGCTTGATGAGGTACTGACGCTTCAAATCTGCTTTCTCCCCTCCAGCTTGCAGAAGTGCCCTGGCGTTCCAGGAAGCAAAACGAAGCGGTCTCGCCGATGAAGATGACGACGGCGAGGAGGAGCGAAAGAGGGAGCACGCGCTAAAGAGACCACTGGCTGGTCTCCACTGGGTGGGTGATCTCCTTGGTCGCCTCGCGGAGGCGGGTGACCTCCATGTGGTTGAGCCCGAGCTTCGGGATGTCCCAGTAGATGACGGGGGGCGAGTCCCCCGAGGCGACCTCGACCTGCATGATCTTGTCCCAGCCGACCAGGAGGGCGCCACGCTCGCGGTCGGAGTAAAGCCGCTTACCAGGGTAAGCCTCCTCCACCAGCTTGCGCACTCTGCGGAGGACGATCTCCTGCTTGATCTGATTGGGGCTCTTGTCGGGGCCGAGGTGGATGCGACAGCGCACATCTCCAGGCGGGGTGATCCAGAGCTCTTTCCATTCTTTGCCTTCGCGGAGGTTGGCAAGGGCGCGGTCGACCTTGCGGGGGGCGACCCCGACGGGGCCGCTGAACTTGATCTCGAAGCGCTTGCACGGGACCGTGCCTTTGGCAGCGATCTGGTAGTCATTATTAGCACTCTCGAATCCGATAGAGGACAGCCAGGGGGCCAGCACCTCGCGAACACTCTCCACCGACGAGGGGCGCTGGGAGATGGCCACCACCATGGTCGTGTCGATATCACGGTTGAAACCAGCAGGAACTTGTGTCTGGGGACGAGGGCGGGACTCTGCGAGGGCCAGTTCCTTCCTGAGCTCGGCCATCTCACGGCGAACGTCCGCGAGGTCCTGGTCGTGCTTGGCGATGCTGGCGGGGTGGGCGTCGATGACGCCCTTCTGCTGGTCGAGCTGGGCCTGCAGCCTGCGCGAGAGAGTCCAGCTGCGGCGTGGCGACCTTTTCGAACATCGGCCTCGAGGGTCTCCGTGTGGGCTTGAACCAGAGCTCTGAGATTCTCCACGGCGGCGAGCAGGGGCTTGTTGCTCTCAGCGGCAGTCTTGGCGATGGAGTCGCCAAAGTCTTCTTTGATGGAGTCAAACTCGGCACGGCACAACTGACGGATGAAGTCTTCGTAGCCCTCGGGCATCTCGTCGTCGAGGGCGGGGCGCAGCTCAGCATCAGTGTCATCACGAGCAGCTTCACCAGGGAGGGCACGACGCTTCTGTGGGTTGGGGTCGGTGAAGCGGGACGGCGCAGCACCTTTGCCTTGGACTTTTCCTTTGCCAGATTTGATCTCTTGGGACGGGAAGGTCGGCGCATCCTCCAGCTGCTCGAGTTGGGATGTCGCGAGCTCATCTCCACGAGGGCTCGCCACCATCCCAGCAAGGTAACTGAGCGAGGGATAAAACGGTGCGGGGGCCCAACTCCCGCGGTAAAGGCACAAGAGGGCAATCAGAAGTCTGACGAGCGGGCTGGAGAGTGGCCTCAAAGCGGAACCTCCCTCGCGCTCAGGTGTCGCCCCGAAAGACTCGCGGTCGTCGGGACGGTTCATGGCCTTGAGCCAAAATGGCTACGGAGGAGGAGGAGGAGGAGAAGGAAGAGGAGGAGGAGGAGGAGGAGGAGGAGGAGGAGGAGGAGGAGGAGGAGCGGTCCTCATTTCAGCGTCTTGACCGTGCCCCACCCCTCGCCATGCCCCGTCCCTCCCCTCTGCCCCCGCCTCTTTCCTCCTCCACACTTGCACATTGTTAGTGCTACTCTCCTCTCTCCCCTGACTCTGCCCGGAAGGTGCCTCACCCTCTCCGCGTTGTTTTCCTTGTTTTGCGCAAGGTTGGACAATCGTGTTTCTGGTCTTATTCTTGTTTCTTACCATCCGATGGTTTTCGGTGTTTCAAAATCGTGCTCCCGCTGCAGCGTGGGCCTTCTTTCTGGATCGGCGCTTTGCTCCCGCCGTTCAGAATGGCACTGTCATCACAGCGCGGACCACCTTTCTGGATCCGAATCCTTCCTGATCATTGTCGCCCTCCTCCTTTCCCCTCCTCCGCTCTCCCCTGATCCTCCTACCCCTCCCGCTCCTTCTACTCCAGTTCCCGCTGCTGCTGCTGTTCGTCCTCGTCGTCGTCGTCCTCCTCCTCCTCCTCCTCCTCCTCTTCCTCCTGCTCAGCTCCGCCTTTCCCATCGTGCATAACACGATCGAGCATTTTTGAGAATTCCAGGTGGATTTCAGGTCCGCAATGACACGCGCCCGCGGATAGATAAACAATAAAAAAACAGCGCAATGGGAAGGGATGGGTGGGAGGGGTAGGATGTCAGATATGGCGCGAGCGCACTTAGCTTGTATTTCCCCCTCTCCCGTCCCTCCCCCCACTCCCTCGCGGCCCCCTTGCCTTCTCCCTCTCCGCCCCCTGGCGAGGGCGACCTCGGGGGGCGCCCCGGGAAGGACCACCTCGCCGAAGGAGGACATGAGCCTCCTCGAGAGGGGGATGGGTGGGCGAGGGGCGCGGGTTGCAGGCGACCCTCCCCCTTCTCCTGCTCCTCCTCCTCCTCCTCCTCTCCCTCCTCCTCCCCCTCCTCCTCGTCCTCCTCGTCCTCCTTCTCCTCCTCCTCTTCCTCCTCTTCCTCTTCCTCCTCGTCCTCCTCCTCCTCCTCCTCCTCCTCCTCCTCCTCCTCCTCCTCCTCCTCCTCCTCCTGGGTGAGAGGAGAAGGGGGGGAGGAGGAGCGGAGGGTGGTGGTGGTGGTGGGGGGGATAGGGACGGTAGTGGAGGAGAGGGGATAGGGGAAGGGGGCGGAGAAGAGAGGGGAGTGGATGAGAAGGGGGGCATGGAGGGCGAGGTTAAGGGGGGGAAGAGAGATGGCGAGAGAGGGGGAGGGGTGATGCGAGGGAGGGGGGGTGAGAGGTGGTAGAGGCGGTGGCAGGGGCAGGAGGGAGGAGACGAGAAGCTCGGGGACAAGGGCGGGGACACCGATGCACAGGGATGGGGGCAGGGGGCCAGGATGGACAATCGTTAGGGGCACAAGGAGCTCCCATCTCCTCCCTCCCCCCTGGTCTCCCCGAGACGCTGGGCAAGAGGGACGACGGCGACGGCGACGGCGACGGCGACGGCGATGGCGACGGCGACAACGACGACGACGACGACGATGACGACGGCGACGGCGACGGCGATGACGACGAGCACAACGACGAGCACGACGACAGCGACGGCGACGGCGACGACGGCGGCGACGACGACGAGCACGACGACGACGAGCACGACGGCGAAGGGCGACGCCGTGGCGTCCAGCCGCCGCGCGCGGGGCGGAGGCCCCCGCTCCGCGCGCGCAACCCCCTGCCTCGGCCCCTGCCGCGCCTCGGCCCGAGGCCGCCCTCTCCAGGGGGGTCGGGCCCTTCCGCGGAGGGGCGCCGCGGCCTCCGTGCCCAGGGGGGGCCCCGAGGGCCGGCCTCGGCGCCGTGGCCGCGGGGAGCTCGCGCGGGGCCGCCGCCGGCAGCCCCCGGAAAGCCTGCGGCAGCGGGCCCCGCTCTCGGACGACGCGCTGCTTCCAGCCCAGCGCTGCCCCGCGAAGCTGGACCCCGGGCCCCGGCCTCGGGCCCCAGGGCCCTCAAACCTGGATGCGCGCGTCGGAAGGAGAGCTCCTGGGGAACGGGTCGGGGGGCCCCTGAGTGGCAGGGCTCGCCTGCCGCCACTCCTCCACTCTGGCACGCCCCTCCCGCGCTCCGTGGCCCCGCGGGGAGCTCCACCGAGGGCCCCAGTGGCATGCTTCGCGTGCCGCCCCCCCCCTCCACTTTGGACACCCCTCGCACGCTCCGTGGCCCCACGGGGAGCCCCGGCGTGAAGCACTCCTATCGGCGGATGTCTGGGATGACACAATCACCGAACGTCTGTTCCCCGCACCGCGCTCAGGCGCGGCACATGGCTGCTCGCGCCGCGCGCTCGCGCGCGCGCACGCGCTTCACCCCCAGAGATCCGACGTCGTGATTTTTTCGATGCGCGGTCTCCAGAAGTATCGACCCATTCCCCAGGACCGGCTTCTCATCCTGAGTCGTCTTTTGACGGCCCCGAGGCCCGGCGAGGGCCACCAGAGGCCGAAAATGGAGAAACACCCCGCGCCTTGATGGTTTTCATGGCGCCGGATCTCTGGGCCCGGCACGTTGAGTCCTCTTCCAGCGGTGCTCCTGCGAGCGTGGCGCGCAGCGGCGGCAGAAGGCCGGGAGCAGCCTCGCGCAGTTCACGATGGGTTTCAGTCGGGCCTGTCCCTCTACAGGGGGAATAGCCAACGATAGTCCAAACATAGCCTGGGGACTGTTTTAACAGTATTATTTTGGCCATCTTGGGCTATTTTTGGAACATCATGTATTTTCGTCGCAACTCTGGCGATCGCTCGGACGTCCATTCCCTGTGCTTTTTTTGGTTTCGTGCGTGGTTTTATCGCCAAATGATCAAGGATGCTCCTCGATGGTCCTCGCCGAAGGAAAAATGCACACGTCCGAGCGATGCCAAGAAATCGTCCTGTAGGGGGACAGGCCCGACCTGACGATGGGGGGGGGGGCACGGCGCGCCACCGCTCTCGGGGGCCTGGGCCTCCCTCGGGCCGCGCCCTGCAGAGCCCCCTCCGCGGGCAGCGCCGTGCAGGGGAGAGGCCTCCTCCGCGCGGCGCCGCGGC